TAGAGCTTTGTGTGTATTACTGCGTACTTGCATATGAGACCCTCATACTAGCAAGAATTAGGCTTTGATGTCTAATGTGAAGCCACAGCCTTGCCCTCTGCACATTTGGACAGCATATGAAGGCCCTTTATGGATGGTTCCAATGTACCCATGCAGAGCTTCTACCCAAAAAGGCAGACTCTGGTTGAGTTTGGATTTCCACTTAAGTAGAACATACACTGCTGTGCAAATCATGCCTCTTCACACAGTAGCCAAATGTGGGTGGTGTGGTCAACTCATGCGACTTGGCAATTCCCCTCACCTGTTCTTTTCAGTGAGTGGCCAGGAGTTAGTCTGACCTCAGCATTCCATACAAGACCCTGATTCAAAAGAGCATGGTGGCTTTTGTGCCACATCTTAATGCAAATTCATGATACCACATGACTCTGGTAATGTCTGCAAAATAGAATCATGAGACTAAGTTCCTAATTTACCAGTGCAGTATAGGATTAATTCATAAGCTTTAGAGCATCATCCCTGGTTGGCAGTGTATATGCAACTAAATATATGGCTTTCAGACAAAGGATATGCATTAAGTCAAACTCTACATTCACCGCTGCTGTTGTGTAGTTCAATACCAAATGTGTCATCTTAAATGCAGGCTTGATGGGGCAACACAGGCAGGCTTGTTCTGTTGCTTATCAAGATCCCAAGAGCCTGTAGACTACGGCACAATGTAGAAGTATAATAAATACATACATAAATAGAACACAATTCTGCCACTCATACAACTTCCAGCAAGCCCTAACAGAAGAGTCTTTTGAAATAGCACGTATTTGCATTCATCCACCCACAGACCCAAAACAAAACTGTGAGGCTGAAACACAACCATGCTTGATTCTTAAGGGTGTTCATGTGCAGTATTTTTTAAATGGCAGCAAATGCACCATAAGATCCTGGGAAGGCAGCAAAGAAGAAGCAGAATCCAGTCAAGCCAGTTTGGGAAGCAGCTTCAAGGTTTCAAAGCAGAGATGTACCTTATTCTTTTCTGAGGCCTCATGTCCAGAACATTGCTCAGTACTGTACTTGTCTGAACAGTACCTCTTCAAAAGCCTGCAGACATGAGGCTTTTTCTTCTCTCAGGCAGAACGGACAGAATTTACTCTTAATTCCAATATTTTTAAGGAAATACAGGACTGCTATAGCCGAAAAAGGGTGCTAAAGGACTGAAAGCCTTGCTCATCAAACAGTGACACCTTCTTGGAGTGTACTGCTAAGCGCAAGTCTGACAGGACATCTTAACTATTGCCCAGTCGTGGAACTTCACCCAAACATTTGTGATTCAAATGATAAGGATGCAGCCAACAGACAAGGTATTTTCTAGAAATGGGTTGGGTTCTCCAGCCTGATCTTCCATACCTTCAAAAAAAAACCCTGCAACATTCCTGTCCAAGTTAACTCTATCAACTACTGGTCAGCTGAATTAGAAGGTGGTTTCATCTTGGTTGCATTAGTTCTCTTTTGCTGCAATGCTCCTGAGACCATTCATTAATGGGCAGCATACAAATTCCGTAACAAACTTGGAATCAATTAAATATATAGCTCAGCATGCAGTTTCATTTTTGTCAGGCAAATAGCTATGTTAGTTAGTAGTTAGACTCCTGAGATACCATACAGATAGAATGGATTTGTTGTAGCATAAGCTGTTGTTATGGAAGAGGGCACTGCATCAGACCTCTTCAGTCCCTTAAGATGGAGTCGGCAAAGACTGTGTAAACTGTCTTGCACTTTTTGCAAGAGGAGCTAAAAGGCTTAGGGTTAGAATGTGCAAGTTACTTGTACTCATCAGAAGGGACAATGCAAGATAAATGCACAGTAGTTGTTAAGTTTTAAACATGGAGTTTCATGAATTGGAGGAATAATCCCATTATTTAGCTGTGAAACCGATTAACAAGTAAGTAACAACTTCCCCCTAGTGGTAAGAGAAAAAACACACAATATAAGAAGTGTAGGATAAAATCCAACACACTTAAGACAGGAAAAGTCCCGCAACCGCCAGAGTTCTCCAGCCACCATTACTTTCCCTGTCTAAACATGCATAGCACTGGGCCTTAGTAGTGCCCAGCTTAGGACATCTACTTGGCAGGCACTGGCATACCAATTTGTATGGCAGAGGGGCAGGTATCACTATCTGCAAGCTACAATCAGACCAAGCCTTGGTGTAAAGCAGGGGTGTCCAACCCACAGCCTGCAGGCTGCATGTGGCCCAGGATGGCTATGAATGCGGCCCAACATAAAATCGTAAACTTACTTAAAACACTGAGATTTTTTTGGTAACTCGGTTGCACAGTTCTCAGGCATGAGCTTCATAGACGACAATGTCGTGTCACATCATGATGTAAAATAAATTTATGTATGCTCTTGATATTTGTACGCATGGTGGTGGCAGATATCACAAAAATTAAGCACACATTTTTTGTTTTTTGCTCATCAGCTTTTGTTAGTATTTGTGTATTTAATGTGTGGCCAAAGACAATTTTTCTTCTTCCACTGAGGCCCAGAGAAGACAAAATGTTGGACACTCCTGGTGTAGAGCATCAGTTTGCAAGATCTCTCTCCCTCAACCCCACTGCTTGAGAAGACTGAACAGGACCCACAGTTGGTACACCTACATCGCACACTAGACCAAATTACATATTATAGCACACATACACATTCCCTTGCATAAACCAGCCATTTGTATTTTGCAGAAGATGCAATGAGCAAACTTCAGGCTCAAATGCATTCTTGGTATAGTTTGATGGCTCTGCTGAGATATCCCTGCTGAGAACTGCCTATCACTGGCTGCAGGAGTGTGTGGAAGGACCCCAAGTCCACCAGCAGCGTGTTGGGATTAGTGCCTTCTGGCTTTGTCCTCCAGATTCAAAGAATCAAGGGCATGTTATGTTGCCCATACAATCATGCTGAAACCAACAGGAACACAGTAAAGCTATACAAATCTCATTTTGTGAGTGCATTAAACTTCCTGAGTACATCAAACCTTCTTGAAGTTTTGAAGGAAATCTTCGTGATTTGGTTCCAGTCAATCTGGTGACCATATGATGCTGTAGTGTCACAGAGAGCTGGAGAATGGGAGATAGGGACATAGGCATCCCTACTAGTCAGAGCAGGCAATGCATTGTTTATTTGTTGTTGTTAGTCGTGAAGACGTGTCCAACCCATCGCAACCCCATGGACATTTCTCCAGGCCTTCCTTTCCTCCATCATCCCCCAGAGTCCACCCAAGCTCACACCGACTGCTTCAGTGACCCCATCTAGCCACCTCATTCTCTGCCGTCCCCTTCTCTTGCCATCAATTATAACCAGCCTTAGGCTCTTCTCCAGGGAGTCCTTCCTTCGCGTTAGGTGGCCAAAGTATTTGAGTTTCATCTTCAGTATCAGGCCTTCTAAAGAGCAGTCAGGGTTGATCTCCTCTAGGACTGACCGGTTTGATCGCCTTGTGGTCCAAGAGACTCACAGGAGTCTTCTCCAGCACCACAATTCAAAGGCCTCAATTCTTCAGTGCTCAGTCTTCCTTATGGTCCAACTTTCACAGCCATACATTGCAACTGGGAAAACCATAGCCTTGACTATACACACTTTTGTTGGCAGGGTGATGTCTCCGCTTTTTAGTATGCTGTCTAGATTTGCCATAGTTTTCCTCCCAGGGAGCAAGCATCTTTTAATTTCTTGGCTGCAGTCCCCATCTGCGGTGATCTTGGAGCCCAGGAAAATAAAATCTGTCACTACCTCCATTCCTTCCCCATCTATTTGCCAGGAAGTGACAGGACTGGATGCCATGATCTTAGTTTCCTTAATGTTGAGTTTCAAGCCAACTTTTGCGCTCTCCTCCTTCACCCATATCAAGAGGCTCTTTAGTTCCTCTTCACTTTCTGCCATTAGAGTGGTATCATCTGCATATCTGAGGTTGTTGATATTTCTCCCAGCAATCTTAATTCCAACGGGTGATTCATCTAGCCTGGCCCTTTTCATGATGTGCTCTGCATGTAAGTTAAATAGGCAGGGCGACAGTATACAGCCTTGCCGAACTCCTTTCTCAGTTTTGAACCAATCACTGGTTCCGTGTCCAGTTCTCACTGTTGCTTCTTGACCCGCATATAAGGTTTCTCAAGAGACAAATGAGATGGTCTGGTACTATCATCTCTTTAAGAACTTGCCACAATTGTTTATTAGTTGCATCTATATCCTGCCTATCTTCCAAGGAAACCAAGGCATGCTCCTTTCCATTTTGTTCCTACAACAACCCTGTGAAATAGGTTATGCTGAAAGTCAGGGACTGGCCTGAAGTTACCCAGTGAACTTCATGGCTGAGAAGGGGTTAGAACCAGAGTCTCCTAATCCCAGCCCAACACTCCTAACCAGCCTACCACCCTGGCACTTAATGCCTTCCATTCCACAGGCCTCTTTGGGCTTGGCACAAAAAAACACTGGCTTATCAGGCAATAGCTCAAATCAGAATGAGGTCACAGAAATGGGCAAGAGTGAGTCACATCCTTTCCAGTTTTTCCATGTACTAGTATCTAAGAAAGAAGTATCCTATCACCTAACCTTTGGTTGTCAGCAAGGCTTTTCTTCAAGAATCCCGATGAACTTCCAAATTTATAAAAATAAATGTGATGTTTTATGGCAAGTTGCATGCAGATGACTGACAACCTGAAGAGTCATGGCAACCCTTCAAAGGAGTAGTGTCCATCAGGACTTTTATAGCAGGAGGCAAAGAAAGCATGAACACAAGACACTGAAGAAAACAATGGAGAACCACCTGTTTAAATATGAAAAGGAATTTATTTTTTTAAATGCCTCCTGTTTGCTTCTGTGCTCATCCTTCATTTTATAGGTCACAAAGGTCCCGGAGTAGCAGTTGTTGTGAACATCAAATAAGCACACGGTTTGCTTTCTTCTGGTCCAGAGGATCATGGAAGAACAAAAAGCTGACCTCCAACAGTACTCCTGCTAGCATCCCCTTACAAAACCACAACATGCCACATCACCATGCCAACTATTCATCCTCTACGCCATCATGAAACATGGGAGATACTATAATGGACAAAAATGCACATACAACAGCAAATTAGCCTACTTGTTCGAAACACAAATGTGGACACAACCAGCAGTTGGGAATTCACACAGTAGTTAACATGTAAAATTTGCAAAGACTGAACTTGCCAGTCTCCACACCTGCTTGAAGGATCAGCAACTGCATATTGAGGAGTGGCTTCTTGCCAGCTACTGCGTCACTCTACCTAATGTAATCTGGGGGCACGGAGGGCTCGTGTAGAAAACTCTACACCTGGCTTACACACCGTTAGTCCTACAGGGCTTGAGAACCACTGAGCAGTCTTCACGCATTTATCTGTGCTTAAATGAAGCAACATTTTAAGATGAGTGCTGCTTTCTCCCCTCTCCCAGGCATACAGCCTAAAAGCTAAGCTGTAGCACAGCCTGCCTCAGCCTGGTGCCTTCCAGAAGTTTTTGACTTCAACTTCCATCAGCCTACACAGCATGGCCAATGCTCAGGAAACCTGAGCTGTAGCCCAAAAGTATCTGGGGGACAGATTGGATGAGGCTGCCCTTAGTGCTTTACACTGCAATCCTATGTACATTTTCCCACTGAACTCAAATTTACTTTGGAATTGAGTCATAGGACTGCATGGTCAAGCCTAATTGGAGTGTCAGGGGATTCCCAAGCAGTAACTAAACCAAGCGTGGGAAACTCATAGGCCAGAACACCTGAAGGGCCACAGCACCCATCAGTTCTGGCCAGCAGAGCCAATGGTGAGAAGTCACAGAAGTTATAGGCCAAACACTCTGAGGGCCAGAAGTTGCCCACCCAATGAAGTGCTGCTTCTGAGGAATGTGCAGCATCCAAAAAGCAACTTGTAACTTCTGAGCTTCCTGGAACTTACATGAGTACACCTTCTTTCATATTACATACCCACTGGCCAGGGAAGGAAAGAGCCTCCTCTGACAGCTGTTAAATGGGTGAAGGTAATAGTGCCACCTCCTAAACTGATCTCACCTGGAGTAGATGAGTGGACTTAGAAAGGTAATGCTTCATGGGATCCAAAGGCTTCTTGCTTCCCTTAAAGGCAGGTGGGCAACTTTGGTTCCCCCACCACACATCATCAGATTTCCCACAGAAGCGGCTGCCAACAAAACAGATCTTTTCTTTGAAAACAAGGCACACCCTTGCCACATGCTTGGTTTTCGAGCAGAACTGCCATTTTTAGATAGTGGGATGTTGAAGGTCATATTTGGTCCACCCTTCGCCCAGTCCTGCTTTAAGCAATAGGCCACCATTGCAGGCATTCTTAATTTGCCATAGGATAAAGATCAGCATAAATCCAAGGGAGCCCTGGGCACCCAGAACTAGTCAAGCAGGTATCTGGTGCAGGGCAAGACTGTCAAGCTTTCTGGGACAGAGCTACCCAAGAAATCACAAAAACAAACCACAAGAGGAAGTGTCTGTTCCTGCCATGTTGCCAATGCTTCCCTGATCAGAATCTGCAACATTCTGAAACTTCGGCACTACAGATCTTAATTCATGCCAGTCACACTGCCCAACTACACAAGGGGAGCACTTAGCCTCCATTCTTATTGACCACCATTCCCAGGCAAGAAGCTATTGGAGATCACAGTGCACTTTCTCCTTAAGGTGGGGCAAGTCAGACCACAGACGGGACAAATGGTGTGTGTGAGGTTCAACATGAGCAAGTTTAGCACATCTCTTTTGAGTTGACTAATCTGTACCTTATGGCACAAGTATTTCACTCTCTGATAGCACAAATCCAATTACAAGCTGGCCAGATAAGCCTGGAAATTATTGCAATGTTTTATTTCACATTAAAAACAAACAAAAACACACTTCTCTATAATGTATTTTTACTTTTTAGCCGCCTCCCAACAATTAAAACAAATGAAGTCAGTTCTCTTGTAGTTTGTATTGTTCTGCTACAACACCTTAAGGCTTCTGTTAGCTGCAGAATCTGACTGGCTGCAACAAGCAGCTGGTGTGAAGTTAGTGCTCATCTAACATGAATTTGCTATGGAGCCTTTCTTCTTGACTGCAAAGGCCACACTCAACCCCAGAGCTTGACCAAAAAAAAAAAAGTGGGGGGAAGAGATTCTATTCCAGGGAGAAGGAGCCACACGGAGAACACACAAGAACTATGCAGTTACATTGTTTTTCCCAGCAGGATGGTTATTCTGTGTTGGAACTGTGTGATGTAGAACTTGGTGGTCCCATCCAACCGTCGTCAGGGAGCTTTTGTTCAGTGGTGACCATGATAAGCCTCGCACAAAGTCCCGGTGGGACCGGTTTCTAAACCTGCGAAAAGTATGGAACACCGTGGAGTTACTTCCCCCCAGTTTTCTGCAGTATCCTGCTTTCTAAAAAGTGAAATGAAAGTTGCAGAAAGTAGTATAATACTGTTATTATTTTGCAGGTTGGGGCCTGCCCCTTTTTGCCCTTGCACTGAAAGTCCCACCCATGCAATTTGATGCCCAGGCTGAAAGATGTTCTGCCCTTCTTGCGCAGCTGTTACCATGGATAGGCCTAGATGGAAACCCTAACCAAGCCTGGGAGAAGAAAACCAGGAATAAAACAGGTGGGAATCGATTAGACCCTTTTGTACTCACACTTCTGAAAAGCTGGCATCAAGAACAACTACCGAGCAGTCTTCACTGATGGAAGCCAACAAGGGGGAACTGGACGAGAAAGAAAAGCTTGTGTTAATACAGACTCAAAGGGCCACACAAAAACAAGTGCGCTGGAAGACTGGACATTTTGCCTGGCCCAGATGTTTTCTGGAGCTGTTTGCTTAAAAAACCCCCTGTAACCAGGGCTTTATAGAGAAGCATGAACAAAAGAGAGGGATTCCTAAACTGAAAGACTTAAAAACCAAATTTTGGAAGTAGAAAACAGAAGCAAGGGCCATTGTACGGGGATATTTTCCTTCCATGGAATGTTGACATGGCTTGTGTTAGAACAGCTTTCCAGCCCTTCATGTTGCTCTAGCCCCAACCTATCCTTTCTCCCATCCTGGCCACCTGCAGGTGGCCACCCTTTTCCAGCTGGATCCTTGCCAATATTCATCCTGAGGTAGAACATTTATTCCCCCGCCCACCAATAAATAAGTAAATATCAAAAGTGTGTGCATGTGGGGAGGACATATTTGTAAAGCAGATCATGGTTTAGCAGACAAGAACCTAAAAGCCTGTATATGTGCCTAGCCCTACTGGGGAAAAAGACAAATATGAGAGTATTAGCTCCATTGTGCTTTATGAGAGAAGGGAAAAAAACCCCTTTAGATTTAGATGAACATCTCTGGCACTCTATGGAACTACTTTTCAGAAATGATTCTGTCCATTCAATCAATGTTAGACTCTGTTCTTAATAACTTTACTGGGGGAGAGGCAGTAGGAAGATTCAGATTGTAATGCTATTACTTCTCAAAGTGTAGCAAGGAAGCTTTTCCATAGTTTGGGAGCTCTCCTGCTTATTCGGCCAAACACGATCCTTGGATTTCGCCCTCAAGATCTGCCTCATAGCACTGTTCCACAATACTGAGGTGGGCATCCACAAATGCTTGCAGGTCAAATTCAACTAATGCTACTGACCATACCTGTGTTTGGAGAAAGCAAACCCTGTGACGCTTCGGGAGTGCACAGGTGAGCTGAGGGCAGAGTCTGCATTTTTTACGTCCACAAGAACAACCATTCCGCTTTCATCACCTTCAAAATAGCACGAGAGCAATGTTATTGCTAAGTCAGTTGGAGACACACAAGCATTTATTTGGCCACATACAAAGAAATACTCCTTACCCAATACAAAAGTGTCATTTCGATGTGGATGCCACATCAATGAGGTAGGAAGATTGCTAGAGGCACTGCAGGCTGCATGGATGAGGAAATGGAAGAACTGTAGTTAGTCTGAAAGGCCCTTCAGCTTTATCATGTAGAGTAGCTGATTGACTGACAGCTAACACTTAAGACAAACGAAACACAGTCAGTGGCTTGCTATTTATTCTGCAATATTCTCAGCCTTAAAAGGTTCAACTAGTCTATTCAAAACTTCATCCATCCTGTTAAAGGGCACATTAAGTTGCAGTGGGTTGGATGCACTGTGAGCAACCCACAGTGTACCCAACAGATGACTAAGCTCACCATGAATCGTCTACCTCTTCCTTCTTCCTCGATCAGCCCGCTGCAGTCAATCTTACTTGACTGAGAGAATGCAGCAGGACCAGTGTGACTCCCCCTCCCCACCACAACCGCAGGCAGCTTTCAGCTGGCTACATCTTTTGTACCTTCACCCTTTGTGTCTCTGCATGGGTGGGGAGAAGCAGCACGAAGTCTAGCTTCACAGTTGGCTTTTACAACCTCCACCTTGACAGCCACTGACAGTCTCCTTAAAATACCCTAGCAGGCTCGTATATTCTAATTTCTTTTAAATAAGAAATTTAAAAATCCCTGTTGAAACTCATTTTAGCCAACTGTTAAAATTTCTTTTCTACAGAAAAGAGGGTGTGGATGTACTTTTGCACTTTCCCAAGCACCTACAGCCTCCAGAAACGTGAAGAATACAACACCCTGACAACTGCCAGGGCAATTTAAAAAAACAACAATTAAGGATCTCAATACAAATATTACTCTTGCCTTTTCCTTTCCTTGACAGCTTGCCTTTTGACAGCCACCAAGAGAATGCAAAAAGAATGAACAGCCTATTTGGATCCTCATGCGGTCAATATTTAGGCATGGTACCTGCTGCACAGGTATCCTCTGATATTGTCCAAGCAAGGTTTCTGATTCTACCACTTGTACAGTTGTGAAACAAAGGACTTTAAAAAAATCACTGATCTGACAGACTCTTCAAGGTGCTGCTTGGGTACTTTGAAGGGGCTGCTAGCGGCCATCAAAACAGACTGCAAAAGCTGGCTAGCAAACTGAACTTTGTGATCTATGGGGGAAAGCCATGGCAAGCCAAAAACATCTCACAATCATGGCAGTACCAGCTACCCTGAAGTGCTGCTAAGGTGCTTGTGGGGAAGGTGGCTGGAGCTGCAAGGGATTTTTGCTGCTCTTGCCAAGAAGTTCGCTAGCCAGTTCAAGGTACCCATAATGAGGTCAGTCACCTGGGTTCAGGTCACCCGACAACCCTTCATGGGTACCATCACTCCTCGAACACATGATCTGTCAGAGTGGTTTACTGCCCTTGAAGCACCCTATGGGATCTGATCCAGGGCTGCCCAACATGGCAACCTATACTGGCTAACAATCTATCTCAGTATAAAATCAGTGTAGAAGGGACTGGAACTCTTTGTCCATTGCAAATATAATTTTGGAAGATTTAGGCTTTTTCATCTGTTGATTTTATTTTAGATGGCCAAAAAGAGAGGAAAGGAAAGGAGACATAAGGGAAGAGAAAGCCCTTCTGTTAAGAAGTGGTTACTTAAGATTGAAAGACTGACTTAAGATTGACTGAATTGACTGAAGCTCAATTGACTACTTTTCTATTCATCTTGGATTTCATACCAAAGGACCAGTTTACCACAGGATGACTGATTTGTTACAATGCTTCTGAATACCCTATCTGTTTCTTTAATAAAGGCTACTGTATTTAACAGATCAAAATCAACTAGGAATTAGATTTGCTCACTGGCCTCAGGATTCAAGTGAGGCCATTATGCTGGAAGCTACCAAAATAAGCAGTGGGAAGCTACCTGGAAACCACCAGGGTTCCTGACTGGATTAGGGCATGCATCAAACTTGCCCATGCTCACCTAGCCCGCTTTGCACACTCTCATCCTGTCCCCTAAAACTTTGGTTTTGCATCATATGCATATTGAACAAATGATAGAAAATGCCAAGTCTGAAAGCAGTAAGCCATGATTATGAGTAACCACATTTTACTCTAACCACAGATTTTGAACAGATGTAGAACCAAACTCTGTTTTCAGGAAATCAAGAAAGGAAAAATGGAATTCACGCACAGGAAAATGCATGCAAATTCTCAGAACATTCTTGATTGCCAACAAGTGTTAAGAAACATTATGTGTGGAAAAGTTCTGCCTGGGCTGCAGGTCCCTAGAATGGAAAGCTATAAAAGCTGACTTTGGTGGAGTCAGCCATATTGACATTCACAATGAAGATGCATGACCGTTTCAACTGGCATTTGGAATTTCCACTCAGCAACAATAACTTTTCTGTATTTTTCAAAGTTGCTTCTATTTACCCTATAGGAAACACAAAGGAATAATCTAGTACCAAAAGACATACCAATCCGAGTTGCTGGTTTTGGGGATCTGGTATCCCAGAGTAAAATCCTACTGTCCTAAAATATATATATAAAAAGTGTTAAAATGGAAAAATTGTTATCATAACTGGTACTTATAAATCACTATGTCAACTTTAGAAAATAGCCTTTCCAGTTTGTTCATTTGCACCCCCTCTTCTGCTGGGCTTATAATACCAGTGCCAAATATCTAAAATAAATTGTCTTTACAATGTATAGGCTAATCTGAACCTAGAAAGATTCAGAAACAATAAGTTGCCTTTACCTCAGAGCAGGAGAGGAACATGGTCTCCTTTCCAGGACAGGAAGCCACACATGACACTTGACCGGAATGAGCTGGCCAAAGTTAAAAAGAAACACAAACATCCATAATATACAACATTAATATTGATATTGTCTATGTCTATTAATACTGCCTATGTGGTGAATCCAGGACAGATGCACTCTGGTAGAAGAGAGCACTAATGCACACGGTTTAGAGCAAACAGAACCCTAAAGAAAAGAAAAATAGCATGGGACTCTCAGCTCATGCGTAAAATGTGGGACCACAAGTAGGGTCGCATAAGAAATTTGATTCTTGTGAATACAAATCAACAGGTGGATTGGATCCAGTGGATTTCATCATTCTTTGGTTATTATGAGCATTCTCAGTTCAAAAAAATTGCAATACATATGAAAGCTGAACAGTGGGAAAAAAAACTGACTGGAAGAAAACATGGAACAAGAGGAGAGCTTTGCAAATACCCTGCACTGACAAAGACAAACAGGTGGGTACTAGTTCAAATCAAGCCAGAACTTTTCTAGGAAGCAAAACTGATGAAACTGGCCTTCCTTAATCACAATTAATAGCATTTGGCTTCTAAAGCAAGAACCCCCATGAGTTTTCAAAAGAATAAGGGGCAAGACAATTAGAAGCACTTAACCTGGAAACAACTTGTACGTCAGATTGAAATGCAAAGTCAGTTCTTAAAGAGCCAGAATTTGGCTTTATTTTAGTATGAAACCATATATATCAGATATATTTTGGTGCAGTCATTGCTCTAGACCAATTTAAGTATGTGTTCATGGCTGCCAGATGATTGCGACGTCACTGACACACTTCTTCCTAACTTATACCACTTAAAATTTAAGCTGGAGGAACAGGAGCATATTTAGCCAATTTGAATCAATGACTGGGTTCATATGTACATAATGAAGACTCAGCACATTAAAAACCATTGGGTTGTTGTTCATGAATGGGGATTGTTCCCATGGTGTGCCTGCCTCTTCCATTTTCACCCAACAACCCATGAATGGCATCTTTCTCGTTTGTGGAATGCGATGTCCAAACCTGCACTGCAGTCCAGTCTGACCATCACACTCCACAACATGCAAAGGTGCTGATTGTATGTTGGAGGGTAAATCCAGAAAAAACTGGCACCTTGTCACTCATCCTTATGTGTAAAAGTCCTACAATTCCCTGCATTACCCAGTCTGCATGGATAGTTAGGGAATATAGGGAGTTTTAGATATTTTTGTTGTCTATATATGCACAGGATTATGCCCAAACAGACTAAAACAGGAGACTGATGCCTAGCATTCCATATATGCCACCCTGATCTACTTGAGAAAAAGGAGAGGATAAAATAATAAAAATAAAGTAAATGAAGATTAACCCTTACCTCTGTAGGTATTCAGCACTGTTTGCTGAGGGATGTCCCAGATCTTCACGCTAGGCATAAAATCAAGATTAAGTTTAAGAAAAATACATATTCTTACTTAAAGCAGAAAGTCAGCACCACAAAAGGGTCACCTGAAGTCTTTGCTGCCAGTGACGGCCTGTATGTTGTTGGCGAGCACAGCCACTGTAGTCACAATGTCGTCGTGCTCGTACTTACAGAATCTGTTCACTATCAGAGTCTCGTTCTCATCCAGCTCCCAAAGCTCCAGAGCGCCTGGATGAGAGGGGGAAGAAATTCAGTAGAAGGATATTTCCAAACAGCTTACCACTGCCACTAGAGATGGCCACCATTACTTAATATCATTAGATTTACCAAAGTGTCTCTCTCTGGGTTATACACAAGATCACATCCTTTTACTAAGTACTCTGAATGCCCAAGCAGGTAGCAATACATTGTCACTGTTTGGAAGTAAACTTGTAAGGTTGCATCCTAAGGTGCTTTTCCATGCACAAGAAAGATCTTGGATCCAGCAGAGGCTTCCACTGTCAGAAAGGGCAAGAGGGAGAAAACTTTCAAGGGTCTTCTGACCTACAGAGCAATCTTCAGGAGGCTGCAGAGAGAATGGGGGTTGACATAAGTGGCCTCTCTGCCTTCCATCAGCAGGTACTAGGATTTGATAGCACTTTGCAAGGTGCATTCTGTCCTGCAGGAACATATTGAAGGCCTCCATTTCATCCAAGATCTTATGTCACACTATTTCATTTCTGCAAAAGCAGCGATTTGAGGACAATCCTGGGATTTCCAGGTGAATGCTCTTTCTGTGTTCTTACAAGCAGCCCATCATGTAACCATCTAAGACACAAAGAAACCCAGGAAAAGTGAGCTCCCCCTTCCCCTCTCCTTTGTGCTTCCAGGAGGAGGAATAAATCAGGATTTGTTTGATCTTTGCCTATTCCTGACTTGTCACTATGGGCAGACAAGGAAACATGGCTAGCTAAAAAACCCTCAGGATCTTACTGTCTACCATTATATGCAAACATTCCCAGTGTCAGAAATAAGACATCGAGAACTCAAGGGTGATAAGTGGAACTAACTGAACTTTCTCACAATTGATTCAGAACCGTCACAGCTAGACTTAAAATGGGCAGTAGACGGTTGGAATGTTTTGAGGCTAAGTCTACCCAACAAACTTGCAAACATGACAGGAATGAAATGTGCTCAGCTAAGAGATAAAAGTCATGGGGCATGATATAGCAATACCATTTATTTTGCTAATGTGAATGTGCACACATAGCTACTAGTCATGGCAGCTTTTAATGTGTCTTATAAACACAAGAAAGAGTTATAAAGACAACTCAGCTATTATCCCGGTGGTTTTCCATGTATTTTTCCAGTCCCCCATATATTGATTTCTTTAACAGAGGACTCCCCCATCCCATCTTGTTTTCAACCTGCTCATCTATTACATGCAATGCCTCAGCAAGCTGTGTCCCCAATTTTTTTTTTTTTTTTGAAATGTGAGATAAACAACAAGTTGCAACAGGACTACAATTTCCTCAATCTCACACAGGAATATTTAGCATCCCTGCTTCAGGGATGAAAGAAAGTAAAACTCCTTGCAGTATATCTCATTCTGGGCTCTTGGCCATTAGGTATATAAACATAAAGGGATTTCAGGGGGCAGGCTTCCCCCAGTGCTCACCTGAATCTGAAGCTACCAGGATGCCTTTATCTGCCACCCATTTCAGATCAGCTATTCCTGCTTCAGTCTGAACACCCGCAGAGCAGAAGCCTTCATTTGGAGCTTTTGATGGATCCTTGAATACCCAAATGGAACCCACCCAGCAACGTCCACTCAAGCTGGATGCTCCCAGCAGCAAGGAACCATCTAGAAAGTAGAATTAAACAGAGTTAAAAGTGCCTGTTTCATTGCAAGTGTGTGGATATTTTAAACTATAAATACCGTCACAAATCATTTATTTAACATCCTAGTTGAGGAAGTTTCACAATGTCTAAATTACAAAATCCCTTCGCATACAATCAACAATTGGTACTCAGTTGGAAAAACTGGCAGAAGCTAACAAAATCAAAAGTCTGCTTCTGCATTATTGTAGTCTCTAGACTGTTGAGCTCTTTCTCCTTTAAGGAACAGTAACTCAACAGTGTATTTCTCTACACTAGATTCAGAAACAAGAATCCTGCAAATGAATTTATTAGTGTTTTGGGAATATGGATTGGAACAGATTGGAATAATGTAAACAATAATGTTACACTAGCAAAACCAGGGGAAGGTCTGTGTGTGTTGGCACATGCGTGCACATACAGAAGCACCCCTGTGCATGGCCAGAGTTTCTTTAACACAGCTTAGCATGTACAGAAAGAAGGATGGCATTTTATTTCCCAGAGAGCTTGAACAACAAACCCCTTTTAGGAATGAAGCATAAAGAATTAACATTTTGCAGGACACAACTACAAAGGCCAAAGAGATGCCAATCTAAAGCAGTCTCTGCCAAACTTGAGCCCCATACTCATTGTTGCCTATATTTTCATCATCCCTTGGCCAGGGATAATGAGAGTTGTAGGGAACAGGACAGAGTCAGGCTGAGGATGGCTGCATTAAAGCAATCCTTTCAAGACTGCTTAAAACAAAGAGTATTAAAGCAGTAACAGAGCCATCTGAAATACATTAAGTCAGAAGTAAGCGTCCCTAAATTCAATGGGCTTTACTCCCCAACAAATCTAGTTAGAATCACAACATGAGAAGTATTTTCACAGCTTTAAAAAGGCAGGAATAATAGGGAATGCCCAATAGGAGATGCAGAGAAGCGTTCAACCAGGTGAGCATTGTGTATAACGCTACACTCTAGTTGGCAAGATCCTTTTTCCAAAGTTCATTCCGCTGTCCAGCAGACAGGGAGTTGCGCGGGAATTTAGCCAAGGATGCCACGGTACGGGGCAACGGGGAACGTGACTGCACCCTTCCGAACTGGTGCCGGAGCAGATGCAAAGCCAACATCCCAGGTGGTCCCACGCAACTTGGAAGCACCCAGAGTCGCGCGGCGGCGGCGGAGCAGCTCAGGATGAGCAAAGTCCCCCTAGCGCAGGCTGAAGGGAGAAGGGAAGTCGCGACAGGTACCTGCCCGGTAGTGGGCCCCGTCTAGGTGCCGCTCCATGCAAGCGGGCGCGTTGGGCGGAATGTTCCATTCGGATCCGGCTTCTCCATCGGCCGCCTGCCCGGCACTGGGCTTCGCGTCTTCCATGGCTGGAGCAGCGCGAGACCAACTCCAAACGTGCCCACGTGCTCCCAGGACACCCCTGTTCTGCCCCCAGCGACGCTCGCCGCCTCTCTTCTCGCGAGAATGGCCGAAGTGTAGCACGCGCGCGCGCCCGAGCTCTCCCTTCCCCCGCCTCCGGCGTAGCTTTTTCGAGGAAAGGAATTCGGAAGCTTTTTACTGGCGCAGTATTTCTTCCGGAATCAGCTTTTTAAAATCTGTGGGGCGACGTATCCTTTGATGTAAAGCCCTCTCGATTATCTTTAAAAAAAAAATCTAGAAAGTAGCATACTTTTATAAATAAATAAACAAAAGGTTTATGAATGGATCAAAATGTATGGGTAAAGCGATCTGAATTACTCTGAGCTGCAACCTGAAATAAGGGCTTGATTGCAATGGACTCTACTAGAGGGCTGCTATAAGGTGATCTCCTCGCCCCCAATTTGCAATGTCGGGTTACATAATTCTGTTCAAATTTACAAGACAAATTCGTAACAGTAAATTTGTAAAATCAATGATAACTCCCCCTCTTCTTCAAAATAATTCTTGAGTCAGGAAGCATCTGAACATCTGTTTTGGGTTCTCACTACGTTGGGGACGATGACCAATCGCAACTTGGCTAAAAACTTGAAATTCTCCAATGCTTGCTCTGGACAGTTATCAATTTAGCTGGGAGTAAGAGATGCTGACAAAAGCAACTAGGAAAACTTGTTCTGAAATAATGGGGTTCTTCTTTTGATTCTGTCTTTTAATTCTACGGTAGTTCTTCCGATATTCGAAAAGCGTTAGCCGGACAGCAAAGTAGTCTCCCAACGTTGCTGCTACGTAGATAGGCCCATTGAAAGGACTGAGACTTCAGATGCAATCCAATCCAAATTTCTGGGCAAAAAAGGGCCTACAACTCACAGCCTGCTGTCTAAGCTTGCGTAGGATTGCATCTAAGGCCTCATTCATATTAACGGGTCTGTATAGCACTAGCCTGGATCCTACACCAAAGCCAAAAGACAGCTTGAGTTAGCACAGCCCTTTCGCTTCGGTATCCACAGAGAAGGCGTTACGGCCACCGGCAGAATTTTCTTCCGGCACTCTTGCCTTCGTAACTCTATGTTCCTCTTCCGTCTGAGGTGACGTCACAAGCAGTGGGACTCCGGAGAAGGTGTTCTCGCGAGATTTCCTTCACAGGGCTGCCATCTTAGTGTTGCCGCTGCCGGGGTCACAGGGACAGAGAGGGCAGTTCTGCTCAGGACGCGATGCTGTCCCGCCTGGCCTTACGGGCCTTTGGTAAGCTAGGGTAATGAGGGGGGGGGGGGGGTTGAACTTAGGGGTGGTCGCGCCGGATTTTAGCCATGCAGTGACTCGCTGTTCTTCCCCTCTGCAGCCCCGGCTGGCCTGAAGAGCTTGCCGCCTTCTGTATCCGTGGGGTGAGTACGGATTAAAAGTCCTAATCCTTGTGGATAGTAAGTGATGTTATCCAATATCAGGCCTACTCAAAGTAGATCCATTGCAATGGAGGAGCCTAACTTAGGTCTCATGCATTTCAAGGGCTCTACTCTTAAGTATGGCTAACATTGGAGACCACACTAATGCAAGGAATACTCTGGGTCCGAGCTTATTTTATTTATTTTAGATATACTTTTACAATACTTACGTGCTACGTATTTAGGTGGCTTACAATGCTAAAAGTACACCACAGATATAAATTAGACTAAACTGATCACAATAAAATCAATGAAATCTGTTTCAGTGAAATTAAAACCAAATCATATGACCGGTGTTACAAATCGATACATGTCAAATATTAAACATTATGCATTTTTCTCCATGGATGCCTGGTGGTCATTTTCTTCAAGGAGGGAATGGAATTGGATAGGCTGATTTCCCAACAAAGTCACTACTGTTCATCCCTGGTTGATTTTCTGAGGTGTTCATGACTGCAAGTTATGTAGGCCTGTGAAAAATTAAGCATTCTCTTGTGACACATATCTCCTTGAGAGAAAATATGTGGTTTGGATGTTGTGCATTTTGAAACTTTGCTTGGAAAAGGAAGTGATAACTCTTTCAAGGATGTTGAAAAGCTGTCCTTAGAATTATTCTTCATGGATGGCAGATGTGACTAGTACAGGGGTGGCTTGAAGAGAGTTTTTCTCAATAAATCAGGGCTTGGCCAGCAGCTAGTGTTGCAGGGGAATGCTTCAAGAAAGCAATGGGACATGATAGGTCAAGATTCACAATCTCCATCTGTATGATAATTCTGTGATGCAGAAAGTACACCCTACCTTGCAACTGCTTATTTTGCATATGCAGGAATTGCATGTCTAAAGTAAGCAGTTTGGTTTGGCTTACTACCAAACCAAACTGCTTACAGCTGCTGACACTGATTCCCCCTACCCCCCTTTTACAGAATTCTTGGAAGGGAGGTGTGTTTGCCATTGTGCTGGCTTTTGAAAAAGGCACAACAGTACCTTGCTTTGTTCTCTTCTGCCAAAATCCAAGAGAGAGGGAGAGAAACCACTTAGTTCCTCTACACAGAGGAGAGAATATGGCTTTCAACCCACAATCTGTACTTTTCCAAAAAGTCTATCAAGAAGCATTAAAATCTCTCCATTCTTTTCCCTACCCCAGCTCTCCTTGGAGAAAAAGAAAGAATAATTTCTTCTCATTTTGGGATTTTTCAAGAAAAAGCCTCAGCAAGGCTTGTCATGCTGAAGCTTTCTTCTACTGTATCACAGGCCACTTTTTTAAAAAACTGTTTTTTAAAAGTGTTTGTAGCATGTTGTGGAACAGCATAGTGCTCTTTCCCAAGTTTCTCTGCATTGGAACACAGAATCCTAATAGAAAACTATGAAGGAACAGGTATGAGTATGCACACATGTTGAAGATACTTTCAGTATCTAAGTCTTCATTTAAACATAAAAACTTCAATCACTATAGTCTATTTAGGGTTGCTTTTCTCCTCCTAGAAATGTTTGTCTGCCATTGTCTCAGTTAAACTTGCTTATCTTGATCTAATGGATGTAATGTTAGATATATGAGTAATTTTGTATGCATAAGGTCACTAGATGAGAAATGGGTTAATGGGAACTGCTCTGTCTAGCCACTTTCACTTCCTTCCACACCTGGGAGCCTTCCTTGGAGGAAGCTTCCCTCTCTCTTTCTTTCCTGAAGTTACATGAGAAAGTAGGTGCCTGACTGGCAGCTTTCCAGCTATGCAGATTTTTAATGGATTCTAAGTTGTATCTGTATCAATTAACCAGCATGTGGGGTTATCATATGTCTTGTGAATACAGTTAAAAGGAAAAACAAACCTTTTATGGTAATTTGTCTGGGAAACTTTTCTTTTCCTTAAAGGGCCTTTCTGGGTCCTAATACACCCTTTGGAAAACAAGCTTGCAGTTAGTAGTAAAGCTTCTACCTAGAATCCTACTTTTCAACACACAAGAGGTAAAGTTATTGTGGACAACAATATGCTGGGCTGTAGGATTTTGGAGTCTGTCTGTCTTTCTTTCTTTCTTTCTTTCTTTCTTTCTTTCTTTCTTTCTTTCTTTCAGCATTTCTATGCCGCCCCATTCTCTGAAGCCTCGAGGCGGCTCACAACATAAAATTAAAATACAAGAAATTACAATATAAAATAAGAAATTACAATATAAAATAAGTCGCCCTGGCCAGATAAAATAAGCAAATAATATTAACATTTAAAATGACGTTTAAATAAAAAGGTCAGGACTCTATGGCTGTGTTACTATAAAGCTAGTTTTAGGAACACTGAACTGATGAATCTTTTGTAAAGCAAATTAGTGCTACTTAACCTGAACAGAACGACTTTGGGTTCAGGATGTGGCATCACTGAATAACTGACTTTACAATATTGTAGAGTGGTGCAAGTATCAAGACCAGTTCACACAAGTCAACAGCACTTGGCTCCAGTGCCACCTCTTCCAGAGACAGGAGGGAAAGTCCGCCATGGAATCTTCCCTGAAGAATTTTTCCAGTTCTTATACCCTAAAACTGGAGTCACAGGTTAGTATGCCTATGTGAAGCTGCTCTTGATGGAAAAGCCAATTTTAACAATATATTTATAAAAGACGTATTTTAAATGTATTTCTGTTATTTTTTTTTTCAGTCAGCACTTCATATAATTTGAGGCTTCAGGAGACATTGCCATATAAAGGGGTGGTGTTTATCATCTTTTGATAAATTTTGTGTTATCAGTGACTGCAACAGCCAAACAAAGTACTTCATAATAAATTCACCAGTAGATTTCTATTTGCTATTTCAGTTAAAGTTGTATGTGGCAAATACAAGCCTTATGAAATGACTGTTGCATACAGTTGTTTCTGTTGTACATTGATTTTAATTTCTGATTAGAAAAGTTGTGACTGTGCCCTTTTTAATTAAGAGAGTTGCGATATGTCATTGTGCAGGGTTTTGCGGTAAATATGCAGGTCTCCCTGACTGACCATACTGGTGCAGGGATGGGCAGACTTCAGGCTTGTGGCTTCTAGTTTGTTTTTTACTAAAATCCTGAGACGACCAACCAGAAGCAAGTGAAAATAAAGTAACTTAGGTAGGTGGACATGCACTAATAATTGAGAAAGCAGTTAGCACTCACCATATGCTCAGTTCGGGAATTTGTAAGTTTGGTTCTGCCAAAGATCACAAGTCTTTTCACGCAAAAGTGAAGTCCTGTTTTTCTTCAATTTTTCTTCAATTGTTCTTTTCTAGCAATGTCTTTTAGTACACCAGCCCTTTTTACTTGTTATGCTGGTCAGTTGGGAGTTAGAAACTCCTACTGATTTAGTGCAAGTTACTGCAAATCTACTGGTGAATGCTGATCTTTATTCATATTATCTATTTATTTAAAGTATATATGTGCTGTCCTATATGATAGTTTTCTGGGTGGCTTACAATACTGATTTAGTGTGAAGTAGAACACAAATTCATAAAAACATGACATAAAATTCATGTCAGCAAAACATGACAGCAAAACAAAGCTTACAGTACTCCAGAATTACACATTTTAAAAATGAGAGTCCCAGATGGCATAAATTGTTTAAAAGGCCTTTACCTAGTGCTGAAAATATGATAGGGATGGTGCTACCTGATTGGGAAAATAACCTTTCTCCAGTAGTTACCAGACTTCCCTTATTCACCTGAACTACATGAAGTAAGACGTCCGAGGAAGATCATACAATTCAGTTAGGTGTGTATGGAGGAAGGTAGATTTTCAGTTCTAAGTTATTTAGGATTCTAAAGATTAAACCAAACCCATTAATTTGGGGCTAGAAACAAAATTGGAGCCAGCACTGCTTGCTAGTGTAATCTGGTTAAACTGCCTGCTTGCAATTGTTTGTTTGTTAGAGTTCTAGCTCACTCCATTAGTCACATGGCAATTAGTAATCTAAGTGGAGTGTCTGTAGTTTCTGAACAATGTTAGAGAAAGTTTTCTTCCATAATCACATCAGCCAGGCTGCCTGATGTCAGGATAAAGAGGAAACTTGAGGATGCAAGAAGAGTCTCAGACACAATCCTTCCCATTAGTTGGCCAGTGAAAACTGCACGAAGTGGCTGGGGCTCCAACCAAATACTGTCCAAAATCTGTATACACACAGTAGAAAGTGGTCAGTGACTACAAATTGTACAGGGACCTCTTGAAAACGGAGCAGAATTGCAAAAATACCTGTTCTTGCATCTGAGTAGGGTGGCTACTGAAGCTTAGGGTGCATTGATACACTTGACTCTCAACTGGTGAAAGAAAAATGGTTGTTTTCCAAGGGTGTTGCAATGGGTCCCTGCCTGTGGCAAAGAAAGAACCTAAGTAACTAGAGTTTGATGAGACTGGGCAAAAGTGGCTGAAGTTGGATATAACAGAAGATCCCACGTCTTTGCAGAAGAATTCCTAGAGAACCACAATAGGTATTCCAGGTCAAAAGAAGCAGGATGGAAGAATTTAATACTGGAACCATCACATATGCAAAAAGTTATTTGGGACACATAGCAACTTTGAAAATTTTGCCTTCTGACACCTGACAGTGATTTGTTTATGCTTCAGCAAATCCTTTTGGCATAGGCATGTATAATTACATTAGCATTTGCCTGTCATGGGGCACTTTTGATTAGATTTTGTCAGATGTGATCTTGCATGTGTAACTTACAGGCAAGATCACTATGCTGTTGTTTTTCTTGCCTTGTCTCATGCAAGGATTTTGTCAAAAGTCCTGTGTTCATGGTTGCTAACTATCTCTGGTAGTTGTCCTACCATTGAGCAGCCTAGTAAAGGACACTTCTGTTGTACCAGGGTAATGTTTCAGTTTGTTTGTGATGTTCCAATCGTTTGCTGTACCAAAACAGTGGTTTAGGATTTTTTCCTTCCTTTGCTCTTAGCTAGTAACAAGGTAAGGAAAGAATGTTGGCTGACCTTGCCATAGTTTGGCCCATGGATCCAGATATTTTTCAGAAATACCACAGAAACCCGTAGCCTTTACCACTTGTAGCACCCATACTGCTCTTTGACTGTACATGGAGTAGTATTTTGGAAGACTCTGTCATGTAAGTGCTGTCAAAAGTCCTGAATGTTGCCATTTTTAAATTGGAGAACTTTAGTTTAGCTCTTTCTTGAAAAAAAAGGGGGGCGGTAGTGTTAGAGATGTCCTTAGTGTCTTAAGGTATTCTTAGTTGCTGGACCTTGATCCAGTTTTGAGAGGGGAAAATAACACTTCCGGTAACCTGATCAGGACTTTTCTTCCTCACTCCATGGTTGTCTGACATAGTCCAAAACACTATTAAGTTCTCCCCACTGATAGTTCACATGTGCAAGTATGATAACATATTCTATATTTGCTATAAGGTTTTTAAAAATCCATTTTCCATTATCTTGGTTATGTAATACTGTCCTTATTTGCTTACATCTAGGCCCCTATATGTTTGGAACTGGACTTGCGCTGTATCTCCTTTCTAAAGAAATTTATGTAATTAACCATGAAACGATTTCTGGAATCACTGTTGTGGGAGTGCTGATTTATGGAGTTAAGAGGTTTGGTCCTGCTGTAGCAGCTTTTGCTGATAAACTCAATGATGTAAGATAGTATTTTTTTTCTTCTTACTGATAAAAATCATGTGACAGGTTACACAGAAATTTTGTGACTTGATATCCTGGTACTTAGGTTCTTAGAATAGTATGGCTTAGCATGCAATGTAACATTATTTAGACTTTTAATCAGTCAAAATATGTGTCAATGTCTTTTGCCTTTGTAAGTACTATACTAGTGAGCAGTGCCAAATTCAGTAGTATCCCACACCTCATCCAGTTAGTAGGTCAAACAGTGTAATTATGTGCATGTTTATGCAGCAGTGAATTCCAGTTTGTTCAGTGGTACTTGCACCCAGGCTGCTGTGCATAGATTTTTTTTTTACATTTATACAGTGCCCTTTTTCCTCTTAGAAGAAACCCAAACATGATCTTCCTTGCAGAAGGAATGTATATGTAGCCTTCTTTACCAAGGAAGTAATCTTTAGCATGGTTCAACATTCCTCCTTTTGCGTATGACTGAACTCTTTGTTTTGTTAAAGATAATAATTATGCTGACGTGAAACCTGAAGACATCCAAAGTGAGAATGGCCTGGTTCACATGTAAGATACCCATAGGTGACTGATGAAGCACACACTCCTTTGTTTTGAATCAACTTTCATTGACCACTCAGGAACTCACCATTGTTGGGTATTTGATATGACCTGTATCCCAAAACTTTGGATTGTTCAAAGTTAAAATGCCCAGTGTTTAACCCAGCAATCACTTGTGGGTTGTTTTGGTTTAACGTTGTTTACCTTACAGTAACCCAGAGTTCCATGTTTCAGCACCATGTCAGACATTCCAGGAATAGCGTATTGCTGGGTTATTGAAGAAAGCTCATTAAAAGTGGAAGTAATGAGTGTATGGGAGACAGCTCACTCCCTTGCTCACAGTCTTGTCAACACATCTCTTGAAAAACACATGTTCATCCTGGGTGAACAAGATCGATCAGTTTTATTATACTATTCAGTTATTCCAAATTATTTCCTTTTGAGATTTTGAATATTTGTGCTTGTAATAAGACTGCTGTCCAGACTTGGGATCTGATATACAATTTGATAATTATTATCAGCTGAATGATGGTAAAAGATTGAGCAAAGTTCTCTATGTACTTCTCATCCATTTAAGTACAGAGGAAGATATACTGTGTTTGAAAGTTTGTGCTCATTATCTTAAATTATGCCAATATTTTTTCAGAGTTAATACAATCATATTTTTTCTAGTACTTTATCAAGATGTGGAAATTGGTAATTGGCTAAAGATGTGACTTGGCATAATTGAACTTTTCTTGAGATTAGACTGTCATATTTCACTCTCATTTCAGGAAACACTTAATACAGCAGAAACTGTGAAAAAACAGCATATAAATTATTTTGAGACTGCGATTAAACAAGAGAAGAAAGAGCAGTGGAGAGTTGAGGGTCGCCACTATCTCTTTGAAGCCAAAAGGGTACAGTATTAAAATATATAGCTATTCTGTTCAAAAACTAGAAAACAATATAAACTCTTAACAGTAGTTTTATGCTGTATGCATTCTCACTTCTCATTCTTTGATGCCTTCATTGTTTTGTGTGACTTTTGTCAATCTGTGATAACACTTGATTATATCTGTGTCAAAGCATTCCTAGAATTTGTTGGAACAGACATTCTAAAAGCTTTTATTTTCCAGATAATTCCAAAACCAGCACAAGGTGTGGTATCACTAGAAATTTGGAACAAATTTGTTGCTAAGTTACTATTTTACCATTGGCATCAATATATTGTGACGATGAGATGAATGATGAAAATACTGCATCCTAAAAAAAATGAGTTCTAAAACATGTTTCCAGTAGAGAAGTTGGTTGTTTCTATCTTAAATACAAGCCTGGACCAAGTAACTCAGGCTGTAATCTCATCCACAATTACTTTGGAGAAAGTTTCATTAAGCTTAATGGGGCGTACCTCTACATAGAGATATGTAGGATTTCATACCTATCAGAGGGTGAAAGAATTGCCTTTCCAAAGTCCTGCCAGTCTGTCACCAGTAGGGCAAAACATAGGATAAAGCAGCTTTACCCCTTTGTTCATTTTTTCCCTATTAATTATTATTTCCTCCTGTTGGTCTACCTCAGGGGTCCTCAAACTACAGCCCGTGGGCCAGATCTGGCCCATTATGCCCATTTATCCGGCCTGAGGTGAATAGAGGTTTTGGACTCGCTGCATGCGTGCGCACGTGGCGAGGCAGGGGCTTGCTCGTGCAGAGATCATTTTGGACTCGCCTCCGCCTTGCAGTGTGCGCACCCAGCGGCAGCGGCTTGCTCACAAGGAGATCACTTTAGACTCACTTGAAGAAAACGATCTCCTTGCGAGCAAGCCTGCGCCTTGCCATGCCGCGCGCGCACCCCCAGCCCTGCCTTGCCCTGCCCTGCCCTGCCCTGGCCCACGCCCTCTGCCTGCACCGCCTTGGCGGCCCACACCTATCACTGGCACCTTTCAAGTAGCCACCTGTTTAAAAAGTTTGAGGACCCCTGGTCTACTCAGTCTCTGGGATGTTTCCGTCCTTTTTGCCCACTCCCTCCATGTATCCCATATGATTTTGTAACATTGAGGGGTTGGTGTTTGCTTTGTTTTTCAGTGTTCTTTTTTTTTTTAAGTAAGTTTTATTATTATTTTTCTACCAACTAACAAAAAGAAACTAAAAAACATCAATCATCAGAAACATCAGACCTACTTGATCAGCCCCCCACACTTTTTTTTTAATAGCAATCCGTAAACATACTTAGATCTATTCATTGTCCCTTTTCTCTAGCCAATAATAAAAAGAGTTCCAAGTTTGATAGAAGTATGTATCCTCTTTCCCCTTCAGAGACAATCTGTCCGTTTCGGCACAGTCCAAGATCTTTTTAAAAATCAGTTCATCGGTAGGTGGTTCTTCCCTCCTCCAATGTTGGGCAAATGCAATCCTCACCGCAGTAATTACATGTAGTTTTTCAGTGTTCTTGTTTATCACTTCTGTAGCCTGATGAAACAACATATAAGTAACCCATGGTTCTGAGATTGCATGTCAACCAGGTTATTGTTGAAATAAATATGAGGACAAGTAATCTCATTTGGTACTATTATTGTAATAGACCTGACTGACACTTATCCACTGTTAACTATGTAAAATAACTACTGAATATTATGGGGAAGAGGGATTTTTGAAGCAAGGGAATATTATGGGGATGTTTGAAACAAGAGTTTGACAGATAGCAGTTACTGTGCAAGTGAATGAGCTATGTATGGGGCAGATTAGAGACTTTACTTTAAACTGGTCATCTTACAGTTTTTAAGTGTTTATCTTTAAATCTTTTAAACAAAAGAAAAAGAAGATATCCTGTGTATGAGCACATTTCACAGAAACACTATCACCAGAAGGATGACAGGAGAGTGATCTATTTCGATTTCTTGCTGATCTAGAACAACGTTGCTATGTTGCTGGAGACCAACTACAGAGAGAGGCTGTTAAGGGTATACAACGAGGTGAAGAAGCGGCTAGACTATCAGTTGGCGCTGCAGCATCTCAAGCGGAGCATGGAACAAGATCACATGATCGGCTGGGTGGAGCGAAATGTTATTCAAAGTATTACACCCCAGCAGGTATTTAGAAAACGCTATATTATAAATACATCTAGATGGCATTCCCTGCTAGGAGGATAATTTGCTTTCTTCTTGCATTTACTTTTCAGATGAGGTAACTTGCTCGTGCATGTGTGATATTATTTAGAAAGAAAGATTAGGATTCTGCTTATCTGTTTTTGATGTTTTCAGGGAAGAAGGTAGAGGGCTGTCTTAGAAACAGATGTGAAGCAAGAGCAGGCTCTCATGAGCAGTTAAATATTACAAAAATGCAAACAGACTTCTTAATCCAGGTGAATTATGAAATACATGTTTTAACAGCTCAAATTACAAACAAAAAATTAAGAACTAGAACGTCATAGTGACTTCCAATTGTTTAACATTGCCCTACAATTTAGAGAAATATGTTCTTTTAAGTTGCTGATTTTAGTGGGTGTATGTATGCTTAATTCTGGACTATGGTTCCAATGAATAAGAGATGGAATATCTGGTTCCAATGAATAAAAGATGGAATATTCTGATCTGGCAGTAGCTGCCTCCTCAGCATTCATAAGACATTAAAAGGGTGATGGTTCAGTCCAACTGTCCATCTAATCCAGCATCCTGTTCATTCAGTGGCCAGCCAGCATCCACAGGAGTCATGAAACAGGAAATGACTGCAACAGCACCCTCCCACCCATGTTCTTCAGTAACTGGTATTATATAGGCATGTGGCCTCTGATTTTGGAGGTACTATTAAAGGCATCTAGTAGTCATATGTAGCCTTCCAAATTGATCCCCACTAGATTACATGGGAGTTAATTCCATAGTATTTGTATATACTATATAAAGTACTTTTTTATTTGTCCTGCCAATCACCTTCATATGATGTCTCTGGGTTCTAGTATTATACAGGAAAACATGTCTCCCTGTCCCTTCTCTACACCATGTATAATTCTGTACAACTATCATGTTGCCCACTACTTGCCTTTTTTCTGAACTATGTTGCCCCATATGTGAGTTGCTCTAATCCCTTGCTCATTTTAGTCATCCTTTTCTATGCATGTTTCAACTCTACAATATTCATTTTTGTAGGATTTTAAAGGATTTTTACAGGAGCCTCAATGAGGCATGTCACGTTGCAGGGTTTGTTTGACCTTCGTGGTTTCTTGTATCTTCCAAACCTGAAGAACACAGAAGCGTTGGTCAAGCAAATTACTTACAGCAAAATTCCTCTCTGAGATGCCAGAAGTAGTGTCCGTGAACTGCAAAACTTGATTCCTTGTGGAGTGGAGAGGATATTCACCTGCAGTCTGTGCTAGGCACTGGGGAGGGAGACTGCTTGCTTTGGCCAGTAGGCACCTACTCTGGCCAATACCTTCCTCAGGATTCCCCACTGTTTACTTCTACCTATCCCATTTGTGCAAATGGAATAGGTAGAAGGGTTCAGGATTGAGGGAAAAGATAGAAGAAACACTATTGTTTGTGCAGAGTCCCATTAAAATTTTAACAGCAGGGAGTCATTGGAGAGGCGCTATATGAATCCCCCACCCCCATCCATTTGCAATTGTGGTGAGCCAAAAAATGACGGGGTGAGAACCTTGATTCTACTGTGGTGTATTCTGGAATACCTGCAGAAGGATTGAGGGGAAACAAAGTAGGGAAGTAGCTCCTGCTCCTCTGTCAGGCACGTTGCACCCCTTTAGGCAAAGAAGCCACCTTGCATGTCTTATTTGGCCAAATGCTTATTGTGCTGTGTGAATGCTCCCATTTTCTGCTAGATGGCTAAATTCACATAGGAGAGGAACTTGTTATGCCCCTTATCCATGTCCAAATGAGCGTTGTAGCCTTTAGTATGGCTTCCACAACCTGATACTCTTTTGATATGTTGGACTTTAAGAAAGCTGTAGTCTAGTACTCCTGGAAGGTGCCAAGTGGGAAAGGCTGCCTTAGTATTATAGAACTGGAAGAGATTTGGGGATAGGTTTTTTCCCTGTCTAAATTATTTTGTATTTGTGAGCCCCAAAGCATTGTTTAAGAACCAGATGCACGTGTCCTTTATTTAGCATAAGTAGGGACACTTCCTTTGCTCTTAAATATTGGGAAGCTTATCTAGACAAAGCTTGAGGAACTTGGTTCTTGATTCTAATGAAAGAATACGAAACATTTTGAGATGCCTAGCACAGAATCTCAAGTATATAGTTTTCTTTTCCAGCTCTTTGGCTGGATTCCTGGTCATCTGTCAATTATCAGTCCTACCTCTGATATTTTTTGGTCCCCTCTGTGTTGTTTCTTTGACTAAAGTTTCTCAAAATAGCATTTTTCTTCTGTATTGCAGGAGAAGGATAACATTGCCAAATGCATCTTGGATCTGAAGGCACTGTCAAAGTCCGCACGGGCAGCTGTCTAAACTCAGCATTTACTCATAATATCTTTAAACTTATGACTGATGCTCTTGATTAAAACATCTATACCTTTTTTGTGCTTTCTTTCTGGCAACTTAAAACAGTTACATTCCTAGAGTGTAACTGACTGGTGGCAATTCAACTTTCATATAGAAATATTCTGTAAAGTGTATGTACCTTGCACTAATGATACCAAAAGGGAAAATGGGGTAGGGGCAGACAGCATAAAAAAAGCTCAGTGGTGTGAGAGCATTTGCTGACTCCTGGATGAAGCTACTGTGTTAATGAAATCATTCCATGACAGTAACTGCCCGGTGAATGTTCTTGTTGGCTACAATTCCTGTGAAATTGGTTGATCCTCTTAGATCAGAGCCAGAAAGTTATCCTTGCCTGGCTAAGGACTGGATGTGGGGTGCACACTCTTTACACCTGCTGTCAATTTGTGAGCTCTGCAGCACTTCTCTTATAACTGAACCTGTTCAAGAGGCCACATTTCCTATATGTTCATTGAACTGTTGGGCAAATCTGATATGTACCATGTGAGTTTTAACTACTGTATCCTTGTGAATATAGTAATTTCTGCAGTTACTTTATAAAAATAGGACAAGCAGCCTGTTTTCAAGACATTGGGAATTAATGCCTGGCCTGTACAATGGGAATGTTATCAACAGCCTATTTCAGTGGGTCTTTGGATCAACCAATTTTGTTTTGGACCTTAATAACTGTCCTTTTTTAGGGTGCTTCCAGTTGGAAGGCTGCTAGTGCTACCAGTCAAAAGATGTCATGTAGCTGTTCCAACTTGTCCCCCTTTCTAGTAAGAAAGCTGGCAAAGAGCAGTGAGAAAACATGAGGAGGGTCACACACTGAAAGTAGTGACAACTGTATTCCCTGTAAAAGCTACAGATTGAGGTAGGGCAACTGCATAATAAAAGCCTTGTTTGAAAACACCATGTGTTAAATTGGCTGACATGCATTTTTGGAATAATCCATTAGAAGGAAATGTTAAAGCCAAGAACAAATGTGACAGTGGGACAAAACCTGAGTTAGTCATACACAGGATAAAACCATTGCAGTTAATGGGATTTGAGATTACTAAATCCTGTTGATTCCAGTGAGTGCTATAAATATGATTAAGTCTGGATTCAAACCACAGCTTCTGCATATATTCACGATCACATTGTGATGAAGAATTACTGGCATACAAATTACAGCTTGTAATTTCTAAAAAATATTTTCCATAACTTAATCCCAGGTTTCCTTAGGTACAATGTAAATTCTGCTAAAGCAGTGAAAGGCAGGGCATACAAAGGCATAATTGGTACTGGAAAAGATCCTTCCTGTCTTTAAAAGCCTTTACTGTTGAGTAGCATGCACTTCCAGGTATATTGTAAGTAAAGTGAGAAAGGTGTCGTGGCATTTCAGGAAGTGAAATAAGTGAACCCACCAAAATGATTTTGATATATTTATTCTATTTTCCTATTTCTATACCCATATATATTTTAATCCTTAAGTGGTTTCCATATAAATAGTAAAATCACATTTAATATGCAATTTAAAAAATTCAGTTATACTACAGAGCAGGGCAGAAGAATTAAAATGGAACAGCATAGTTAATTTAATTACAAGGCGGGAAGGGCTGAATAAACAGCTGTGTTTTCAGGTGGTGTTTGACAATGTTCCTAACTCATGCAGGAGGGCACCATTCATCAAGTACTATTAAAAGCTGTAGTGAGATCCAGAAGGGATTGCATTCCTTCATCTGTGTCCTAAAGATGGTCATCCATCAGGCTGACCAAAGCTGATTTCATCTCCAGATCTGAATCCATACTTGAAGGAATCCAGATAATTTGTTTCATTCATGACTACCTGCAGCTGAGACACCACCACTGTCTTGAGCATCCTATTATGGAAGGGAGTACTTGGGATAGGATAATAGTTGGCAGAGAATTCTGTATCCAGGGAGGGGTTTTTCAAAAATGGCTGCACCACTGTTTCCTTCAAGGCAATAAGGACTACACCATCACCCAATGATGTATTCACCTCCCCTCGATCCATCCAATCAGTCTCCTGTGGCTAGTTTGAAGCAGCTGTTCATGGTTATGCAAATAACATCTTTTCTGCATTCTTAGTCTCCCAGAACTAAAACTGGTCTCACAAAACAGGTTAAGATGGTGCACTGGACCCCCTTAACAGACACTGCAGCAATAGCAGTGTTCAAGTCAGCATAAAGGAGAGTGATTTAATGTGAACTTTGTATGTGCATAAAGAATATGCAAATAACTAAGTCTGAGATGCTTTTGATGACAAATTTGGCTATCAAAAACTACTTCGGCTAATGTGCTAACAACATGTGGGCTTGTTTACATGTACATGGTAATCACTTGACAAATGCAGCATTGCTATGACTTGCATGCAAAAATAATCAATTAGAGACCAAACAGCACAAGTAGAACTTCATATGTTTTTACACTGTTGGGTCATATAATCAATGTCATAGGTCTACTGGCAATAACATCCATTATTATCTATAAATACTTGCAACTGATTCACTTATTGAGAGAATTAGTGCTGCCCTTACACAAGGAGAGAAATTAGGTCTTGTATTTGGGGGTGGCTCATACTAAGGCTGATCTCAAAATGGGGTTATTCTAGAAAAGCAGTTGAGCTCAGATCATCAGCTATTTAGAGTGTGGAGCATACAGGAAAAAAAAGCTACATTTATATATGCAGATTACTGCATGCAGATTTGTGAAGGAACTACACAAAAATGCCTGCTATACTTGTGGGAAGCTGTTGCAATTACTTTTAGCTTCCCTTAATGGTGTTTTTTGTTGTGATTCTTTTTCTTTTTTTAGCAAATGCTGACACACATGCAGCACTTTCATTATATATCACTTCATTCCAACAGCAGCACACTTGTGAAAGCTTCTTGCTTATGTAAAACATACATATAGTGCAAGCACAGTTGCACTACCTGAGTTGCCAGGTCTTGAGGTTGCCATTGGATGCTGCTCCTATGTCTTCTGGCTGCTCAATAACCAAAGCTCTCTTTAACAGCAGCATGATCATGTGTTAGCAAAAATCTGTGGAGAATTTCAGAATCTATATAGTGTCATGTCTTTGTTGTCTAATTCAAAAGCTCACAGAAATGCAAGCTTTTGAGATCCCTAGAGCTTTTCATCAGACAAAAGGTAATAAAAAATAGTTGTGTGTGTATGTTGCATGGAGAGTGGATACAATAGAAGGAAAGTACTTGTCAGATGGTACTAAGCAGTCCTACAGCTCTCTGGTACATTTGTAGAGAGCTGTAAGACTTTTTTCTGTCTAAACATGCATAGGATTCGACCCTAAATGATATGCAGGAAGAAGATTTACAGACATTCAAATTGGCTGCTTGTTAGGTGATGTCCATTGGGATGAAGGAAGTAGCAGACATTTGTTGATCCTCCAATTTTGAAAATAAAAATCCAATTCATAACTCAAAACTCTCTTCATTCTGAACAAACACTGACTAGAACATCCAGGCAGCCTCATCTGCCCCTATTTCCCTTCACCCACCCAGCCAACCTGCTGCTGTTTTGTTACATATTAAGGAAGGGTGCTGGAGATCATGAAAGTTTGCACATCTTACGATTTTCCAGATGATCCTTATGGACCTTTCTATGATCTTAATAAGGTTTTATGGGTGCAATCCTATGCAAGTTTAGCCAGGAAGAAGTCTTGCAACTTCCAGCATTTTCAAGCCAGCCATGCTGGCTAGTATGGACATTGACTTCTAAATTTTCTTACTGCTAACACAACTGCCTTTGTATTGTCTAATCTCCAAAGAGTTCCAGTTATTGACTACTGCAGATTCAGATGATGTTGAAGTTGCAGGAAGCAACCACTCTGCCTCAGGGTAATCTTATCATACGTTAATCAGAGATTCTGCTTAAGGCTTCTGTTTCAAAGCTTCAGAACAGAGCATTGACCATCAGCAAGATCACAATGTGCTCAATTTTAGAGGAGGAATGTGTGCTTGGAACATGTGCAGCAGTACTGATAAAATCTCAGCTTCAAGTAGTTGCTCATGCAGTTGGCTTGAGGTCTGCAGCTGTTTAAAAGGTGATTGAAATAGCAAAGCAATAGCATGAGAGGGTCACTGGATTTATAAAAAGCAGAATCAGCCAAATTGATGATCAAAATCCATTTTAACTTTGTCTTGGGCAAGATGAAAACAAAATCTGGGGAACAATTATGTTTTGCAGGTACAGCAACCTGGACAATGGATATTGTACCTCAATAGTGGGCAATTTGGGGTCTTCTGGATGCTTTGTCCTACAATTCTGATCAGCCCTTACCACTGGCTATGATGTCTAGGGCTAATATCCCAAGGTTGCCCACACCTGAAATATATCTAAAAGCATAGAGTAGGATGGGGCCATTCAACTACCTGCTTAGTGCAGGAATCCAGTCTATCATTTATTTCTTTGAAGTCATCATATGTATTAACCTTGGATTGTTTTTCTC